GSCAATAATGTCTGGTTTACCGTCTGACTTAGGCGGCAATAATGTCTTGTTATGTTATTGCACAGCAATAAAGTTTGCCTAACTGATTTAGTCTAAAGTAGCAAAAATGTCTGGTATATTGATAGCTGTAAGATAGCAGTAATGTCTGGTTTACTGATAGTCTAAAGTAGCAAAAATGTCTGGTTAACTGAGAATGACAAACAGCAATGATATCTGCTTAGCTGATTGACTAATTTATTCATGTTTCCAAATTATTTGATGCAATAGACTACTCACCACGTCTGTCCAATATTTGATATAGAATGATATAAAATCCACAAAACAAACATTATAACCATATTTGAACAGCCTGACAAGACCACAAAACCAGACAGTGCCATGCCTGAATACGCCAATACATCAAGGTGCTGATCAATTTTGGACCAATCAGAAAACAGCAAGATAGTGGGTACTTTCAGGAATGTCTCCCATCCCCTCCCCCCAAAGTGTTCTTCTATATTTTGTAAATATGTATCAGCTGGAAGGAGACCATTGGTTCCTAGAAGCTGTTTATTTTGATTTGCTGCAACAAGGAAGGCTGTAACTGCAAAAACAAATCACCACATAAATAAAATTAACATAAAATCATATTCCACAGTCAATCACGATGAAAAGTATCTTAATAATATGATGGTGAGGGGTCCATAAAATATCAGTAACGTACAAGACAGTGCCAGTGATATAGGGAGGTGTCCACAAAATGGCAGTGTGTTGGAGGTGTCCATAATAAAGTGTCTGTTATACAGAAGTGTTATGTCCCATAAGAAAGAGCTGTCAGTAAAATAGACGCGTCTCAGTGATATTCTAAAATTGCAGCTAGGATGTTGCATGATAAGAAAATTGAGTCGTCTCTAGCTTGAAAAATAAAATTTAATGAAGACGTTTTGATCGCAACTGCAACTGCTAGATTCTTGTAAACAGCGTGCGCGCTAATCATTGTAATTGTTTGTGTGAACCGTTAGTCGCGCGTGCACACTTTACATTTTTGCCACTGCACTGAAGAAGATCGCAGTTGCGATCAAAACATCTGCATTAAATTTTATTTTTCAAGCTAGAGACGACTCAATTTTCTTATCGTGTCTCAGTAATATCCACAATAAAATCATTGTAACTTCAGACATCATAAAACACATCATTCTTGTACCTAGAAAAATGTAAGGCTCTGGTTTGAGTAGTCTCTGGGGGGGACAGGGAGCTCGCCACTAAGAACGGCTGTGAGGAGACTATGGTTCGAGACAATACCATGAGATATGATGCAATGGCAATTTTTGAACAAAATCAAAGCAAAAAATCATATGTTTCCAATTTTCTGTTAGGAAACTTAGAAGTGTCTGGGTGTAAGATGCTGCATATATAAGTCACATGTCATTGGTGCATTGTGGTTTAGCTTCAGTACAAAGAACAACATAATAGTCACGTGAACAAAAGCTGAACGTACTGAACACCACAATGCAATGCGTGCTGCTGATTCAACATTTATTGTGGTGCAAACTGGCAACAGCCTGGAAACCCTGTGTCAAATTATTGGCTATTCATATGTTTTCTGTTCTAGGAACAAGGGTATTCCCACTAGTACTGGGATTTTTAAAGAACAGTTAATAGTAATTATATTATGGTGGTATCTAAGAGATAGTCCGTGATATAGAGTGCGCGCCTAAAATGTGTGAAACAATTCTTAACAACCAACAACTATTAAGATTTAGTTATCAACTAATTACTAAGAAATTTACTGGGGCATGAACACAATGCCAAAAAGGAAGTTTTCTTTGTTTACGCCTCACTAAATTCTTAGTTAGTTGATAACTACATCTTATTAGGTGCTAATTACGCTTAAGAATTGTTAAACACTTATGTGGCATGAACTCTATGTCAGATAATCTTTATATAAAGGCCTTGCAATTTCATAATTTCAGATACTTATAATCTACACTTTGATTTTCCAAATTTTAAAAACTTTACTGTCATGTGACTTACTAATTGTTGTCAGGAGGGGWGCAGTCTTAGTACAGTACATTCAGCAAGTCAAAAATGCACCCCCATAAAATACGAAAAACTAAAAAACATACGAATGAATGATACATAATACAGTACATTATTTTTTGTTTTTTAACTTTACTTACACAATTTTACTTACAATAAATGAATCCAAGAAAGCGCAAAAATACAATTCTTGTCAACCAGTACGACCCAGGGTCGATKTGTGAAAGCCTTGGAGCTTCTTTCTCCTTTTTCTGAATGTTTTCATACTTTTCTTCGTGTAGCTGAGTTCTTTTTCTTTGCCTAATACCTTCCACTGCATCCATTATGTACAGAGCAATTGCCAAGAGRGGRTAAATAGTATTTTTAATMACAATAATCAAACATTTTTTAGCCAACCTTAGTGCCATTCAACATTTTCCACGTACAATTAGTACCCAATCTACCTTGCGTCCCAGACAATGTTTACTTCCGGTCAAGCTGACTTCCGCTACTAATTAGATAGTTTAGTAAATATTCGTTGAGCGCCGTGAGAAAAAAAGGCCATGCAAAATGTAATGGTCGAGATGTAATCATGGACTGCTGAGCAGGGGGGACCTGGGGGCTACAATCCCCCCCCMRSCCCCCCCACGCCCTCAAAACGCTGGAAATGACATTTCCGAGAGTTAAGATTTCAAAAATTTCCGAACCCTCCCTAGTACCTCGCCGCTACCCCCCCCCCCCCCCCCCCCCCCCCCCCTTCACGCTCCGCGGTCCATGGTAATTGCACAGTACTACCATACAGTAGAGAGTTCTAGAATAGCGAGGTGCCAATATAATTCGACAGAGTCATCTCTGCCGCACATCATTTTGAGATTTTGATAAAGAAAGATAGAAAAACTTGACAGAGAATTAACATAGTTTACACAGAAGTGTAATTTTCAGCAATGATGCAATAATCGTGATCAACTTCAAGAAGGAGTAAACAAAACGTTTTTATTATTTGCACAATTAAATGGCATTCAAGCATGTCAGCCAGGCGGTTGAGGACCGCTGGGTCTTATATTCGTGATGTAGGACATTAGCTGATTTTGCCTCTACGTTTTCAATAGCACTGCTGGATCGTGATAGAATAATGAATACCAAATTATTAAATGAGACAAGTCAAAACACAACATGTCTTTTTTTATTTATTGTGAAYCTAACATTTCAAATATGAATTAATTTAGAATACGTCGTATCAAATCTAATATATAAATAATCAAAGTTTTTTTGCGGTTTTTCAAACACCAGTAATTTATAAATAGTGTACACTTTTGTACTATGAAATACTCACAGCTCGATTTCAATGTCACGCTATTTTTACATCTGCATTTGTGGTTTTATGAACAAACTTAATAAATATCGCTAAATAAATCTGTGGTTTATATTTACAAAAATAGCTACAACCGATATTTAGTTGTAGCTAGAATGAGAAGTGTTGAACAAACTATTRATTATTTTCAAGAATTAACAATTGTCAACACATTTTTATCACCTTGTCATGTAAATTATATTTTGATGAGCGATAAAATCTTTATTCTTATCAGATAATACGGTTAACCCATCTGAATAAATAATAAGCACTTATTATAGCTTGGTTATCATTGAAGTATTAACACGAGCACCACCGTTTGGAACAAGCTGAACCGAATTGCGGTCCACCGTCGGCATTTCACTTTCAGCCTTTTCATCCAAGAGTTCCTGGCTTGCATTTTCTGTTGTTGATCGAGTCGAGTTACTTGGAGAATGAAGTGATTGTAATTGCCCACTACTATGCCTTTCGGCAATTTCTTTGGCAGAACACCGTGGAGTTGGCACAGGATAAATGTCATCAAATCTACCAAAATTCGCGCGRTACATGCCATGGCGAAAGCTGTCCCGYGTCACGATGTCTTCAAATAAATGACCCCAATGTATTTCATCGCTAAGATAGGATGTCCTCGCTTGTGTTGTCATACCTGTTGATTCTACAATCCCTTCCAAAATTATAACTATTTCAAAATCCAGTCGTAAAATGTCCTCAGGGGAACAGTTGTAGAATGGTGATTCGTCGTTAATTTCGTGAAAGATTATAGCAGGTATAAAGATGTTTAGTTTTTCATCGTCACTTTCATCGTGTTGTAGTGGTAAACTCTGTTGAAAGAACCCTATATCTTCYCCTTCCTTTGTATAATGTCTCCTGATTAATGTAGCTCGTACATGGGTCTCTAAAAGTGCAGTTTTGCGAACATCACCTACTCTGAACATCAGACACAACTTGCCATCTCGAAGAGCGATTACAGCGTGGTTCGAGAATTTCACTGTTCTTCTTCTAAGATGTGGTCGTGAAAGTTTGGCAAATATTAGCCCTAACATTGTAGTAGAAATTAATAGTCCTATGATACATTGGAAAATTAATAAAATTACTCCTTCTGGGCAATGTGGAGTGACCTGCCTTCCTCCATAACCAATAGTTGTTTGAGTTTCAAGAGAAAATAAGAACGCGGATGTCCAGCTATCAACTTTCTCGATGCAAAATATCTGATGATACTTCCATCGATAATAATATATTCCCCACCAGATAGAACCAAAGCAGAGCCAGCTCAGCAAAAACGCCGCAGTGAAAATGAGGAAAACGTACCGCCAACGAGCCTCGATCAGTGTAGTAAAATGGTCAGCGATGTAGAGCTGCCGCCGCTCGGGGACGTTGTCAGCAAATATTTGAATATTGCCCCTCTTAGAGACTAGACGTCGTTTTTCAAAGTTCCTTGACGTAGACCTCCTTTTACCATCCTTTGAAATTCTTTGTTGTTTTACATAGGAGCCTGGTAGAATTCCATCTAACTCTAGTTCCATACCACTGTGTTGAAACGTTCTTATTAAACAACACAACACAATAGATAAATCAAGTAACTTTTGTAGTAATAGTCTCTATGGCCTAAATGACAGCAATATCCAATAAATCACATTTGGTGATTAAATGAAGCTTTTAGTTGGCCCCATCGGCCAATTCCCAGGCCTTACTTGAAGTAATTTGATGTTCGTACTTTTGCCTCGTGTGATTTGAATACAAAGTGTACGCGAAGTAAAGGCATCTGACAAGTATCCAAGCGAAACGATACGCGATTGGCTAATAAAAACCCTTTGCCTTCATAGAACAAAGCACTGGTGACGTAATACCTGTGTTTATATCAAAAGTGTCCAGTATAAGGACAATGCGAATACTGTACATTAAGAGTACTGCAGCATTGCCAAAAGTCACTTGTTATTTAAACCTGCAGGCTTATTTCCGTCCACTGAGAGAGCGAGTGGTGACACGCTGGTCCCTAATTTCAGCTGCGATGATTGATAATGTCAGCTATAGATTTGTCACATAACAATTAATGTAAACAAAGTTTATTGATTAATTAATATCACCCACATTTTGTGGTCTTGGATATGGACACCTTTTTTTTCAAATTTCATATTTTGCTTTTCTAATCAAAGACACCTTTTCAACAATATCTCCTTGCTGCTAGCTGACCTCACAGGGTGAAAGCTCGCAAACATAAAACGGTTAAAATTCTAAACTTATCATTATCGTTTTTAAGCACAAATGCATATGCATAATGTTTGTTTAGTAAAGAAGAGAGAGTGTAGGATTATCACGAGACACTTAAAACAACAGCAGGAAGTTGACAAGGTACTTGGGTGATAAGCAGGGGCAAATGTTATGTAAGATGTAACTTAACATAATTATTCATGAATGGTCTGTTTACTATGGACCACAAACAAACCACTATCGATGTTMTTATTAATTATGCATTAATACATATATCAGTATGGTATTAGTGATTTGTTCCATATTAGCTGCTGTGATAAACCTAATCCTATATAATCCTTCAAGCATTCACTAAGACATGGGGTACCTATAGTTTGCCGCAATCTTGCCGGAAATAATCCAAAATATTAAAAAACGAACTTTGTCATCTTTTTCATTCCCAGCACGCAATTGGGACGCCATGTTTGTTGTTTTCGCTTTAGTGGTCAATATTTGGCGACGAAACTGCAAAGTATCTTGCTGAGAACCATGACCATCAAATGGATATATCACACTCCGAATCTTCAAAACTACAATTGTATATCGTGTTTGAAAGAGCCTTTTTCTTTTATTAGATACATGCACTRCTTACATAGCAAAATATTTGTATGTATTTGTTTAGATTAAATTAAATTTTATTCTGAGAAAACTCTAGAAATATATAGCAATAACTCACGCATCTATCATATAACATTACAGGGCATATACTTTTGCATGTGAAAATTGACAACAGTGGTCATAATATTATTTGATAATTAATTGTAACCGAGTCTTGTATCTTGTGTCCTATAACCATACGGCTTGTCGGAGGTAGAAAGAGAATTGCAAAGATAGTGGGAAAGTGAGTTGGCACGCAGTTTTATCACGAGATGTTAAATATAGCTGGGGATTTTTCCACGCTGGGAGGGAGGGGGCGCTTGAGCGTGTGCACTGGCCTTAGGGCCCAGGTCCTTCCTTGACTAACGAAGTCTTTGAAATATGAAACTTTATTTGTCAAATCAATATGGTAACAAACTTTTGGATAGCGCAAATGTGTCCATGAAAAACTGATCCTCGTGCAAACATGTGCAAAAGAAAACCTGCGCGCGCCCCTTGAGCAGTTTGAACGGCGCTAGTTTGACATACCGACATAGGGAAATCTAAATAACGTACACATGCTCTCGGGGACGCGGAGTAAAAAGGGGACGAGCCCAAGTTTTCTATTGCCGAGGTGACTAGAGCAGTGTCATTCTGGTGTTGGGGCAGTAAGTCATATTCTGAGCATGTCAATCTGTGACTGTATGAAGAGGTTCTATCATGTGGACAGGGAATGACATATATTTTTTCCTACATGCCTATTCAGGAGGACTTCACGGTTGATGGTGGAAGGCACCAAGACCTAGTTAGTCCACTTTCGAAGTCGTCCAACCATGCATTTATCGAGAAGATTCTCTTCGTCCTGTTCACGACAGTGATCATGATGTAAACGAGCTAATGTCGACACAGGTACTGAATCCAATGCTCATAATTTAGAGCAAGGGCTGAGCAAGGCTTTCCAGGAATACCATCTTCTCCAGTAAAAATCCTATAATTCCTTATCATCCATACCACAATACAAATAAAAACTAGAAATAACTATCCCCCTTTTTTGGACATTTTCAATTAGTGCACTCTTGCAGATTTAGTTCACACAACAAAGTCAATTCTGCCCTAAAAATCCGACAATGCTCATGAATCCACGAAAGTTACAAATACGATCACTCGTAAATACTGATTCACCGGTGGAATCTACTATATATCTATATACAGTTGGACAAATCTCGTCAGCTTCTTCCCCACTCACTATAAGAGTTTTTTATTCTAACAAAAAAAAACAATATTAAAAAAATATAAACGTTGTTGRACATGACGAATACTGGCAAAATGCAGTGTCTATGCGATTGCAGATTGTAAAAAAATCCCCTACTGGCCTCCCGATAAAAAAATAACGGTCCCAAAGAATAAGCAAAAACTTGAGCATACATAAAAAATATAGGCATTAAGAAATTTAGTAAATTTCGAATACACTATATTTTCAGTATACAAAGTTTTCTGAAATTATSTGTATACGCTGCAAGAAACTGTATCTCGTGTCGATTAACCATTAGACTACGTTGTAGTCCAGTCAATCTACGAAAAACGTGTTCCACTCCAAAGTAATTGCAATAGAGTTTTTCCACTAGGAAACTGTTGATTGAAGTATTCTGAACAACATACTAAAAATCCCAAAAAATCCCTTCGGTGGAAGATCTTCAAAATCGATCTTCAAATAAGACAAAGAGGGCAGCTAGCACAGGGATCCCAACACAATTAAATTGTACAAAAACACATATTTTGTTTCTTTTTCAAGCCATTTTATACATTTAATTGTGTCATATTGTTATATTGTGATTAATTGACTATAAAATATAACTGTTTTCAAAATTTAACAAATTTAATATRTTTCCCGCTAGTAACACAGGGATCCCATACGTGACAAGTAATGAAAATATTACGAATGAACAAATAATTTTATGTTTCAATTATCAATCATCATTATCTTTATCTTCAAAATCTGGACTTGTAACATTTAAACAACTCACGACATTTCTCAAAAATCCCTTTGCGACYGATCCATCGCTGCGTAATATTGTTAATAATTATCTATAAATACACAACAGGCGGCGATTCCCAGGGGATCGACAAGAAACCTATTGTGATGGTTCATCATTCCTCCCGTGAGGGMTTGGCGCCTTTTGGCCTGCCTACAGTAAACATGTCCATCTCGGAGAAGCAGATTCGGAATTGTTAAGCCTTTTTTCCATATTAATCTTATAGGGATTATCATCATTCATCCTCTTCAATTGTTACTACATTCACTTTATCTATATTTAATTATCATTTGATAATCAATGTTTTAATCCATTTTATAAACTTTAATAACATAAAGAACGAAAACTGTGTAACGTTCTAAACTGTGTAAGGCTCTAGACTGTGGTAACGTTCTAAAGCTATGTAATGTTGGAGTTTCGAACCCCGGCAATGAATCTTTAACAACAGTTAGTATCTGCCTGGTCAGTAAATCAAATACGTTAAGGCTTTCAAGAGATTTTTGTCGTGGTGTTTATCCGAATACTAGTAATCTATGTCTGATATGAGAACTGTACACCTTTTCCTGTGATGATTTGGAAAACAATAACGAYAATTGTGAACAGCTCGGTGAAAGCCATCACATTACACCGAGTACATCCGTATTCGGCCGCAAACCAGCACTCAGCACCCATCCCCACCCCCATCAAAAAATATAATAAATCCACTTGAAGAAAGATTATGCAAATCCTGCGTATCGTTTGCGAATTCCTGAGCTGAGCTCTGATTGGCTTACTGTTCCCTAAGGATTTTGATGACGTCATATATTAGCATAGAACTTCACCGAATAGACTACCCCAATTAGATATTAGATATCTATAAGTGTCTTCATAGTACGATGGTCTAAGAGGGTAGCTAAAGGTATGCTCTAGTGGGCGGCTACCCCCTCACTCCCTGGCCTTTTGGTTAAGACTAAGTTTTATGTTCACTCGGGATAGCGTGGAAGAGCCGAAATCTCTAACCGTAACGTAAGCCGATTCGACGCCTCAGCTTCATAGAATGTCTCGGGGGAATCGTCCCATCTTTTTACTTTTCTATTTTCATAAATTCTTATGTATGTCCGGGGGGGTTACATCTTTTCCTGAAGTGAAAGTTCTGAGTTCGAGTCCTGCTGCTGGAATTTCTCTTTTTTGCTTCTTCATTGTTTCTTTTCCGCTTTTTTCTTGTCTTCTTTCTTTCTTTTTCTTTTTTTCTTTTATCCTTTTTCTCTGCTGTTGTTGTTTTTGTGTTTTTTATCTAGAGATTTTCCTTTTTCAACTCAAACATTTTACAAGGACTAGCAAGGAACGCCTGCTAGCGCCCCTCCCCTTCCGTTTTCCCCCTTCCCCCCTCCCCTAGAGCCGCTACGCAGGCTATTACGGTTCGGTCACTCAATACAGTGGCATAGTGTATTGAAGGCAAAATGATAGTGAGGTGCCCGCACTGATAATAGTTGACTGCGTTCTATTATTAACTTTTTGACGACATGATATCTTTGACATACACACTCGACAAAAAGAAAAAAAAATCTCCGGTAAAGTTATACGAGCAGCAGGAAGTTGTTTTTCCATAGTGGAAAGTCGTAAGTCACAGTCGAAAGGTTTCATGACATTGCGCTCAATTGATCGCACATTATTTTTAGAATCACTAGTGATTTCTATAAGCATAGTTATGATTTAAGTGCCTCTCGTAAAGAGGAAGATGACTTGATCCGTGATCGCGGTACAAAAATACTCACCTTGAGAAGTATTTACTTAACTATTTTCACGGGAGCATTCTTACTGTTAACGAAACTAGGATAATAATTTGCAAATGCCAGTCCTTATACCAAACTAGTGTTGATTCCTGTTACTCAATAGGCACGTGCGTACCTGAATAATTTAAGGCGGAAGCCTTATTATGAAAAAATCTAAGCATAAGTGTTTTTTATAACAAAAAAAACTATATAAAAAACTATAAACGCTGACGACATGACGAATCACTGTCGAAATACAGTGTCTCAGCGATTGCAAGGAGATTGTTACAAAAATCCCAATCTCAACCAAGCTATCAGTTCTGTTACTCGTGATTAATTCGAATAGCCTCCACCTTATAGTGCCAGCTGTAGAAACTAGGTTTTCATAAACAAGGTATTTCAGTCAAGGGTGGACTCCAATGACATCCTGAAAAAATGTTAAAATTCTCTGAGGGACCTTGAAAAATTTGTGACAAGCCAACTGGGACAGTAGCTCATGATCAGAGATAGTCATATGACATCTTCATACCCCTCCCCTCCTAGGGATAATAAATGTACTTTCCCTTATCGCTGTTTTGTGCTTGGTTTACTTGGCGTTTTGAGTACGAGAATCGTTTTACTTCCAGATAATGGATTGTAAATCCAAAAGATTGGACAAATTTAAAATGAAAGAAACGACTTTTGCTCTATCACTCAGTACCCAAAATCCCTTTCGGTCAAAGATTCATTCCTTTGCACAACATATTTTTAAATTAAAATGGRTATATAAATGATCGATATATAAAAAGATCGTGACACATTTTTAATGCAAATTGTCTTTATTTATTTCTCTCACAATGCTACAAKTAGTACGATTCAGTTAAATACATTAATTAAGCATTTGTTAAAAAACGCGATTGTCTTAAATTACAATAATTAATAAAGATGTATAAGTTAGCCATGGGTAAAACCTTCTTGTACCGGAGCAACTAGACGTATAGCTGGCCGAACTCTTGGTTCTGCTTGACGATAAAGTGACAACAGTTCGAGTGTTGTAGTCGAAGAATTGGACTGTATTGAACCTTAATAAAGTTAATATTAATACTATCACTCAAAAGGGTAAAGCAAAAAATACTTCGTGWATTGAATATAGAGGTGCAATAGCATAGAGCTAGTGCCTGCATGTAAAGTGTACGTACAAAGTCTACAAAGACGAGGTGTTCGCAAGGCTAAGTTGTGCTGTAATTCAATTTGAACTTCACACAGAACACGACAAGAATTGCTTGAAGCGTTACATTTTATAGAAAGATTAACTATGTAAAAGCAACAACAAAACACTGGAAGATAAAACAGTTAAAATGCTGCTTGTAGCTATTCCTGCTTTGGCGTCGGCGTCGGGGTTTGTAGCGTATAAGCGAACCACGGTTCCATTCACGACACTGTGCACCTGTGGAGAGAGTGGATCTTTGTCAATAATCTGTCATTCGAACGCTAACAACATAAAATATTGGCCGATATCTTATTGTTAAAACTCCCAAATTCTTCATAAAATCTCTTTTAACCAAAAACTCTTTTTCCTCGATGGAAWAGAAAGATCAATGTAGTTAATCTATAGCTACGGTTTTAATAAATCACAAAACAGAAAGTGAAATCGTCTGAGATGCTTTGTGGTCCAGAAGCGAGCAGAGTGCATTGCTTGTACTTCTTTAATTTGTAAACTTTTGCCGCTTTCTCGTTTTTGTATATCTGTTTTGTTAATCTGCATTTAAAATCATTAAAAAAGAGTGCATTSCTTGTTGAGACTTTACAATCATGAACCTGTTACCTGAGTGCAATTTGCAATGGTGGCATTCTCTGCTGTACTGTTATGGTCTAACATCCGAACCGCTGTTGTGTAATTGTACTCTACGATGGTTGAGACTTGAATGTAGTAAGAAGGAATGAAGGAAGTACTCACAAAACGGACATTGGTTTTGTTCCGTCCGTTGATGACTTCTACAAGTCTTAACTTGCTTGGGTTGTCAACTTCACGACGCAAAAAAGTTGTTCTTACTTTTTGTCCACCCGATCGGGAATCATTAAGAGACGTTGAGAGACAYWCCTTGCCTTGCACAAATTGGACATTTTGTTTAGTGAAGTTCACCCTTAACGCTCTGTCACTGGGAATAGTAACCTCACAACCATACATATAGAACTTTTCACGATAAACGGGCGCGTCTTTTAGGTTGTGTTTTTGATACGATGGACCATCATGTACTCTTCTCACCAATTTGGGATCAGCTACTCTAGTTTGAATGGAGATTACGGGTGTTCTTGGTAGTGGGATCAGCTACTCTAGTTTGAATGGAGATTACGGGTGTTCTTGGTAGTAGTACTGGTATGGGTGTATTTCTTGTGACTTTGGTGCCCGGTTTGTAGCCTTTGAAAATACGAGGTTTGGTTCTGCTTCCGCCACTACTGCCTCCACTTCCACTTCTACTTCTAAATCTACTTCTACTACTTCTAACACGCACTCGGGCTTCACAGTTATCGAGGTATAAAACCAAGATAACAAAAACAGCAATTGCAAGAATTGGCTTCATCTTCACTCTAAGCGTGTTTCAGTGAGCTAAAGCCGTATGTGAAATGATTTGACTTTATACCTTATAATGACGCCCTAATATTAATTGATGCATGACGACACAGTTCCTTGTTAGTAATTTTAGCAACATTTACAAGGAAGTTATAATGATACACGTCATTGATATTCAGGGGTGGTAGTAAAGTACAAGCAGCGAAAGTATTTATAGTTAGTGAAGGTCAAGTCCAAACGCGACTTTTCCTACTTCCTGCATTTTTGTCATATCTTAGCAAAAATAATTGCAATAGTCCTACCATAATCTCATATCAAGTTTTGCAAGTATTTCACAAGCAATTATTTCAAAGCTATAGCAACTCAGTAATTGTTCAAAGGTGTCGGAAACTTTCAAGTTAAAACCATCTTTTAATTTTTATGTCCGCACGTATTCGAAGCGTTTTGACACATGTACCGACAGACACCATATATCAAGAGAAAATGTTCTTATATTTAAGA